ATAGATAGATGCGCCAGTTTCAACCTTGAACGTAACTACCGGAACCGTGAAATTGCAATACTGACTGACAGCCAGGCAGCTACAATGGCACTCATGTCCTAACAGGTAGCATCCACACTGGTATGGAAGTGCATTGACAAGCTGAACATACTTGGCTAAAACAGTCAGCTGCACCTAATATGGATTCCGGGACATACTGACATCCAAGGCAATGAAATAGCAGACAAACTTGCAAGAAGATGCTTCACGAGTGATAGGCCCAGAACCATTCTGTAGTCTAGACAAAGGAACTCTATCCATTCTTATGAACGCCGCAGAGGAAAAAGAAAGAGAAATCTATTAAGAAAGGCTACCAAGACTATCACAATCTAAAATGCTTTTAGGGACTTTTAACCTAAAACGCTTCAAAGATTGTGGTATTATTGACCGGTCACTGTAGATTGAATAATCACCTATCGAAGTTAGGAATTCAATCCAACTCAGACTGTAGATACTGTAGAGAAGATAGAGAAACTGTCCGGCGCTGATGCATAAGCAAAAGAAACACCTAGGAGGGTATTTCATGGATCATAAGAATCCAAGCCGGGAAAGATAGGCACTAACTGTCTTTCATTAAAGAAATTAGACTTGGAGATACATTCTAATCCGACTAAGAGGCACAATAGATCTTTTAGGTTACAGAGCACTGTTCTTTCTTTTTCAATAATAATAATAGATCAAATATTGTAGTAAACTGAATAATAAAAAACAAGTACAGATACATATATAAATAATTTAATGTATGTCAAAATTAATTTTTCGATTTCTATTAAAAAAAAAAAAACGTGAAACAAATCGAGTAATTCTGTAAAAAAAATGGATGAGAATGTCTAAAAGAGTATCTATCAAGTGTGTAGGCAGGCAGTGTGAAATATTTCACTATTATCAACAATAAGAATAAAAATTAAAATAAACAAAAATTAATTCAATTTGAAAACTGCTTAATATATATATATATATATATTTAATGCATATATATATAAAAATATTTATCCTTGAAAACATTTATATTATTTTGTTTTTGTTTTGTGTCAACATAGATTTTTCCATAGAATCTATTTAAAGTATTTTGGACGAAGCACAATTATTCGTTGTTTGTTGCTATAAATTCTGGTTATAAAAATAAAAATTATTTTCATGTGCTGTTAAAATACATTAAGACTGAAAAGTTTTCGGAAATTCTCATTTAAAATTCGCGCGCTGTATATTTTTCGATATTTTAAGTTTATGTAGTTTGGCAGCACTGTCCTTAATTACTATGCCAAAAATGAGCTCGATCTGTCAGACAGTTCGTTTACGGCAGCTGTTGAAACCAGTTCACCTCAGTAGTGCGTTGCGAAATGTCTTCGACGGTCGTACGACCGTCCTGGAAGGCTTTGTACCACTCATAAACTTGAGTTTTCGATAAAACTGATTCCCCATAAGCCTTTTGTAGCATTCGCAACGATTCTGCACACGAAATTTCGTTCGAAACACAAAATTTGATGCAAACTCTTTGTTCAATATTTTTTTCCATTGTTTTTTTCGCAACGCCCTACTGAGGTGAACTGGTTTCAACAGCTGCCGTAAACGAACTGTCTGACAGATCGCGCTCATTTTTGGCATAGTAATTAACTTAATTGCTGCCAAACTACATAAACTTAAAATATCGAAAAATATACAGCGCGCGAATTTTAAATGAAAATTTCCGAAAACTTTTCGGTCTTAATGTACTAATAAATAATACGTGATTATTGTTAAAGTTCACAGTAGAAGGGAAAACTATATAAAAATATTGAATATATTATATGTGAGAATGTGAGAACAAAAAATGACAAACTAAGACTTTGTTGCTTTTTGGTGGTCAACAAAGAGAGTCATGCATTTAATTCGTTATTTATTAATTTAATTATTAAGTAATTTAATTATTAAGAAAGGCATTATTCATTCGAGTGCGTAATGTGTACAAAAACGTTTAACAATATAAAATACTTAATAGATTAATAAAGCAAAACAACCTTCACTTCCGGCTCCTTTTCTGCTTTCAACAGCCGCACTAGTGTACGAAAAAGTATCTACTGCGATTGGAGTTGTGAAGCGCACGCTATGCTCCACTGCAGCATGTGCTGCACGCAGCAAGTCCGTATATAAACGTTGGCGCTTCAACTCCAGCTCATCACGTCCAACGGGGGTAACAGGTGGTTCAATACAACCGCTGCGTTTAGTTGCAATTTAATAAAAATTTATGTTGAGTTTATAAACTTTCTATTTTTTCACAGAATATGAAGAAAATATGAAATTAATTATAGAAAAACAATTTTTTAAAAATATACAGAATTTTAACAGAATTTTTAGGAGACAAAAAATTAACTTATTTTTTAATAATGTATTACATTATTAGAGGAATGAGGAATAAGATATGAGGAATAAGAATGTATTACAAATGAAAATCTCATAAACAATAAAATTCAAAGAGAATAGAAAAACGAAACTCAGAAATATATTACGGAATACCTGTATCAACATCAACAAATTATCACGAAAACCAGAACGAATAAATATCTGGATCGAATAAATATCTTCATTGCATAGAAATGAATGGAAAATTAATTGAAATGGTAATAATAAACAAATTTCATACGTCAATGTACATATATATTTGTACCAGAGAACTGCAACGACTCTTAACTATCATTTTTGTGCAGACTATCATTTTTAAATGTCATTCAAGTTGCGCTCTCTCTTACTCAAATTTATTCTAGCGACCGAGCTTGAATATGTTCACATTCAAGAGTTGTCATTCAAGAAAAATTTTTGAAGAATAAGGGTGTTTGCGCACACTGTAAGTGTGTTAGTGTAACCACACAAAAATATGCTCTTGAATGCATGTTTTTGGGTGGCAGACTATCATTCACAACATGTTGACGAGAAACTAAATAATGTGCTCACCAACATGTTGATTTCGTGTCATTCAAAGGTGCAGATTATCATTTTAGAGTCTCATTCAAGAGAGAAAATCTATGAATGACACTTAAAACTGATAGTCTATACCTTTGAATGATACGCAACTAATATGTTGGCATGTACATCATTCAGCTTCTCGCCAATATGTTGTAAATAATAGTCTGTCACCCAAAAACATATATATATATATATGTATATATATATTAATTTATATATAATATATTAATATATGTACAATATATATATAATAATATATATATAATATAATAATATATATATAATATATTAATATATTTATCCTTTTTATACAGAAGTGATGGAAGTATTTATATCAATAACCAATTTAGAACTCATCATGAAACCAATTAAAAGATTAGTGAGGTCAACCAATTCTAGTACCATCATATCTTAAATTAAAGGAAATTAATGAATGCTAAGACAAAATGTGAGGTAGTTTTAATGGATTTAACCGATTTAAATATAAATTGTATAGTAGGAGTTCAGAACTACAGTAATGCCTTTAAGACTAAAATAATGGCTATTTATAAAGGGTTTATATAGAAAAGTCTGAAAAACTTTAGAAAGTAGAAAAAACATTAAAGGCAATTTATAATCGCAAGCAGCCACAATTCTGACAAGGCATAACTCATCCTGTTGACATAATAATGTCAGAAGTGAAAATCCTATTCAATTTAATCGAAAGAGAAATGATATTTTACAATAGATGTTTAAAAATAAAAAATATATTTAAGACAAATTGAAAAAGTATATTGGATAAATCGATTATAGAAAACATTTATTCTTTTCATTCTATCTTAATATGAATCCAATGAAATAATCGAACGGCCGTAGAACCATAAGAGTACGGGAGAACCACAATATTGTCTGACAAGTTTTGACAGACATGTCAAAACGAAAAACACTTAAAGGAGTTAAAAACCAACGTGACAACATATTTATTACCAAGGCGATAGTATTAAAATCTGATTCATTTTAAATGATAAACGTTTGCTTTCTCATGTGTCTAATGTGAGATGGCATAGAGAGACATCTAAAAATATACAAAAATATATTCATATATTTATTTATATATTAATATTATTCACAACTTACTATACTGTAAAGAGTGTTTATATCTTTTGCAAAAATTTGATGACATTCGCGACCCATAACTCAAATATAGCAACCAATGAATACACACTCTTGGTTTTGTAACATTGTTACAGAATCAACAAAAATTATTTATAAATATAGATCACATAGTTGAAGAAGTAAATAATCTTTTCTCATTATGGAAAATGGTTAAAAACGAAGAAGAATAAATTTCAATTAAAATCAAATATCGAATTGTGGGTGGAAATAACAAAAACAGAAAACAGAAAACAGAAAATTATATTACACTGAAATAAACCGCAATCACTCAAAGTGATAAAGAAAAATAACAACAGTAACAACAACAACAACTATAATAACACTAGTTTACAAATAATTAAAAATTTCATTCTCAAAAGACGTGACCTACATTTTCTATAGTGAAATTTCATAATCATTATGATTTTTCTTTTTTTCTTTTTTTCTTTTTTTTGTGCCGTTTTCCCGTTATTTGTGAAAACCGTTATTTTGATTTTTCTCAGAACATCACTCTACATATTTCCCCATAACCTATATTGGTAAAGTTATGACATATAATATTGAATATTAAATTATTTTCCCGTTATTTGTGAAAACCGTTATTTTGACTTTTCTCAGAACATCACTCTACATATTTCCCCATAACCTATATTGGTAAAGTTATGACATATAGTATTGAATATTAAATTATTTTCCCAATATTTGTGAAAAACCATTATTTTGATTTTTCTCAAAACATCACTCTACATATTTTCCCATAACTTATATTGGTAAAGTTACTGCATATAGTATTGAATATTAAGTTATTTTCCCGTTATTTGTGAAAACCGTTATTTTGATTTTTCTCAAAACATCACTCTACATATTTCCCCATAACTTATATTGGTAAAGTTACTGCATGTAGTATTGAATATTAAATTTAATTAGTTTAAAGGTAAAACTCGTATGAATGTTTTAAGCTAGATAACATCAATAAAATTTAAGTGATTTATAGTTAAAAATGTACAAATAAAGATATAAATCGATCATCAATTTTCTGATTTAGGGTCCAATAAAGATTACTTCTTTAGTTATGACAAAAGTAATGATTGAGAAAAAACCAATAAAATATTCGAAATCAACACTTTCATTTTTTTTGCAGAGCCTTATCAAAAAATCTTCATAAGGCCAAGTTTTCTATGGAATTGTGGCGAAACTGTCAGACACGGTTTAACAATACGACCTTTATTTGCGGCTTCTTTTACCCTAACGTATGCCAATCGTATGGTGGGAAATTTATTGCCGTTTTGAACAAGAGTAGCTATTAAACTTAATTTTGAACTGTTCCTAAAAACTGGCCATACGCTACGCTCACATCTTATTTTCAATTTGTTAAAAAGACCCTTAATATCCCTCACATATGGAGTCTTGGAACCCTCACTCATGGATTCTTTTCATCAACATCTGCATAGTATCAGTTACAATACTATTGTAAATAGTATTTCGTGTTTTAATAGTTGATAGACTGATATATTTATATCAGATTATTTTTGGTTTCGTCTTATATTTCAAACTCTTTTAGCGTCATATGGGTCATGTTCTATATTCGTATAGTAAGCTTCCCAGCTGTATTTTTTTGATATTAGAGTTTCCTGTTAATTTCTTATTCTGGCGTTTCAATCTACGAAAATCATAGACGGATGCAACTTACTTCTGTCTACTGACTTTCATAAATCTACATAGAATTTACTTCCAAGATTTCACGATTTGCTGGCATTGTTTATTGTTGGTAAATGCATCTTTTTGTTGCATTAAAAATATTTAATAATATATTAACAATTAATGTAATAATATATTAACAATATACTGTAAAATATATATATCTTTAATATCATTAAAAAAAAAAATTTTTTTTAATATTTCTATAAGAGTCCCATCCACATTGAGTTTTTCCTCTCTAACTGAAACTCTGTATGCTGAGTGATGTTTTGAGAAAAATCGGTTTCATCGGTTTAAATACCAGGAAATCCGCACACAAGAAAAAAGTCATTATAATTATGATATATCACTATAGAAAATGCAGGTCTCGTTTTTAGAAATTTTTGACTGTAAACTAGTGTAATTAAAAAAAAAATCTCATAGTTTTTATTGTTTTTTTATAGTTAATCGTACATATCATGTATTCTTTCGTCATTGAACCATTCGGGTAGACCATGTGCAAATACAACTGTATCCTGTATTTTATTGTTGGGTTCAATATATGGTGCACACATGCTTTCCCGTTTGGGTGGTGGTAATGAGTCCGAAAAAACATCATCATCATCACCTAATGATGCATGATCATAATGTGGTGGTGGCAAAGGATCCGGTTCGATTATTTCGGCATGTGTGCTAATGTTAACCTTTTTCTTGATAGATGTGTGAGTGGAATTGTGACGAGACAGACAACTTTTTGGGTGAAAATCATGGATGTTTTGTTCCATTGTTGTTGGTTCTGTTGTGTTAATGATATGCATAGGCTGTTTATCATTTAGTTGTTTTTTATCTACATCATAGTCCTCAACATTTTCAGTTATACACTGAGTTGAATGCTGCTCGTCTTCTCTTTCTGCTTCCTGAATCTTTCGTTGTACTTCTGTAAGGCCAGTTGCAGCAGTTGTATATTCATTACTTGTTGTTGTTGTATTCGCTATGACGATTTTTGATTCATTAATTCCTTCATTGATACTTCCATCGGTTGAAGAAGTCGACAGTGATGTGTTCTGTTTATTACTTTGTTCGCTATTAGCTGCAAATTGATTGGTAATTTTGTTTTAATTGACCATAAAATTTATTTTTTTATCACACTTAATTATAACTTTTTTTCATGAGTTAAATTCATTAAAAAAATTTTTATAAAACTAAACAAAACATATTAGTTATGACGTCAAACATATTTCTATTAGTTATTTGGAGTGGTCGGTAAATGTGATAGATATATTAGCTATTATCTATTAGCTAGTAAAACTGTAGTCGTGTTTGCAGACCTTAATTTATTAATAGTTATATTTAAAACATTCTATCACTTTGAATTAAAATAATATTAAAAAAATATATATTAAAAGAAATACATATTTAAAAAAAAATTAAATGTCTTACAAATATATATAATATGTTATATGCATATGTTTTGAAACAGTAAAGAACTACAGCAACAAAAAAAAAATTACTATTTAAAAAAATAGAAGTATCTATTCAAAAATTAGTTCTTTCATCATAATTAACCTTAACATAAAAAATATATAAAATAATTTACAAAAAACGAGTTGTTATAACATCCTGCCTTTATGAAAAAAGCCAAACGTGGGAAATTTTTATATAGAAAAGAACTATATATATAAATACACACAAAAAATTAATAAATGTTTTTATAAAAAAGTGAAAAAATATATATAATACAAATTGTTTTTTTATATGAAATTTATCGGGTATTAATAGAGGCGAAAAAATATTATTTGGCTAAATTTAAACGATCTATAATTTTATATTGAAATGTCTTAAAAACTGTATAAACTACCAAAGGAGGGAGTTATGGAGAGATGGATGTTGTCAAGAGAACCCAGCAGATCTTCAATTACAAAAAAAAAGTATTTTAAAGTATTTTCAAATAAAATGGTTTTGAAACAAAAAGTGTTAAACACAAAACATTCTTTGAAGTAATTAAATTAAAATATATACAATAAAAATATATGTACCCTTTTGCATTTAAAAAGATTTTTAAAAAATTGAGAGCAAAATACTAACTCGATACTTGCAAACCTCGGCTATGGGTCACACATCGGTAATGTGATTTCCACTTAACTGTACAGCTTTTATACAGCTTATATCCCCTTTCTCATACACGCTTTTCCTATTTTGTCAGTAATCACTTCCGCTCAGATGGAAAGAATCCCCCTGTTTGAGCAGAAACTTCTTTACGAATGCACAAACTATAAGCAAAAGCCTACCGGCAAAAGCACTTTCCCGTCGCTATACTTTATGACAATGCCAAGATCACACTGTATTCCGTATTAGGAGATAATCGTAGTTTATGTGGGTGATATTTCAGGCCATAATAACCTGTAATGAAGCCCTTTATCAACCTTAAATTACATTTTGAAAATTTTAGAATGTGTTTGTAGGAGTACGGTTTTATCAGTGCTTTGCTTTGTCTAAGTCCTGGGAAGTCTTCCCAGTACTCCAGCCGCATATGATTTTCCCTCTCTTTGATAATTTGTTTTGTACTGACCCAGTTTAACCCATTTACTTCCTAATTAATATATACTTATGTTTTTTTAAATAAATAAGACACAACATAACTTTTCATAATAAACAAATTAAAAATCTATTAAAATGTTTAAATTATCAGCAAATTAGGCGAATAATTTAGAAGTAGAAGAAGCATTACTTTAGAAGTATGTAAATAAAAAGAATAAGATTTTGCACATATATATGAAAATAATTTTAGCAAATATTAATCTCCGATCAAAGCTATCTTCAAACCAATAACTGTACTAGCAGTTACCATAAGTACAATTAAGCTTAAGTACAGTTTACTTGTACTTCGACTTAATCTAGTAAAGTGAATTGAAAGTGAACTGTACTGTAAAAGAAAATACTGTTTAAATTTATAAGTCAATCCTATGTTTTTGATACTATATTTAAAAATAGTCAATATGCACATAATAAATAAATCTACAGAATATTATCATATTAGCAAACATAGGTAGATAGATGGGACCCAAAGATAATACTTGGTCCTTAAAATCAATTTTTGTTTGGTTTCATATAGATTTATGTTATTATAAAAAAAAAGCATTTATAACAAAAATATTTGAAATATTACTAAAACCAATAAAGAAAAACAAAATCTTCAGAGGTACTAAGAAATTAAAAGGCTACTAGTATAAAATATCCCACGCTTTTGAAAAACTAATTGCTAAAAGGAAAAATCTTATTAAAAATTGCGTTCAGAGAAAGTTGAAGAAGATATTGAATTTAAAGTGAATTATATTTGACATGTTAGTTTAAATTTTCATAATTATAAAAGTAATAAAATTTTATAACGCGTATTTGTTTATAATACTAATAACATATATGTATATTACATATATTAGTTAAAAGAAATATAAATAAGAAACATACATACATATTATTAGAAACATGATCGAAGAAACATTAATGTATATATGCATATTAATATATTAGTAGTATTTACAATGTCATATAAAATATAAAATACTAAATTATAATAAAATAATATTATATTTGTATACATATTTGCATATGCTATGCAATTATTTGGAGATACAAAATTTTATTGTCAATATTAAACAAAAAGTATTAAAAGCACAAATGTAAACTCATTCAGTTCTAAGCCCGTCAAAGGCACAAAAAAGTTAGACTTTTTTGGGAATATGCATAAACAAGATGTATGTTTATTCCATATTAAAATGTCAAAACAGGAGCTCATAAAGAACTTTACAAAACGGATAAGTCCCAAGTGATGCACAAGTTATACACCACATCGCTTAGAAATATAAATAAAGAAGAATTTTTTTGCCCATAAGAGTAATATGTCATTACAACTTTTTACTCTTCAGCTTAAATATACTACCAGAGTGGCGGCCTTGTTTCCAAAAAGCCCACTTGAGCTCAAATGATAGCCCATTGTGGCACCACAGGAATAGCATTGGTACAGCGTCGAAAAAGGTAACGACTCCCCCCAACCTGACAGTTGTATAAACTTGACCAGGTCCCTAACATTACAGAATGACAGCTCAGTAGAACGGTGAATATACTACCAGTACATTGCAGTTTATTTTACACATGAAAAGCACACTATCTATTAGGTTTAACCACTCATTAGGTTAATCACCAAACAACAGAGGAGGTTAAAAGCTGCACTTTTAAATAAAATAGTAGAATGTGTAAATATGGTATATGGTATAAATGAACTCCGAGTTTGTCTCATAAGTATTAAACTACGAAAAATTTAGTATTTGCATATGTTTGTTAACTGAAACCTTTTTACTGGTGAAATAACTACATATAAATATAGTTTTAATTTGACTGTTTCACTTGTTAATGCAAAGATTTGGTGTTTGTTATTGAGGGTATATACGAACATTCAGAGATTCAGAAACTATTCTACTTTAGTGGTATGTAACTACGAAGCAGTTTATCTCAAATTTGTGAAGGCTAAAACTGCAGTTAGGGCATATATTAGGATAGGTATCTGTTTGAAGCATAGCTATAGTATATGGTATGTCTAATTGTTCCAAAGCAATTTCCACTGCCCCGTACCCAGTACATCCTGAATTCTGAAAAATAATAAACGCAGTCATATTGAAATGAAATTGAACTATTTATTTGCCTATGCAAGTGAAAAATGGTGTACATAATGAATGGAAAGAAAATTCTTTCTAAAAGGATTCAGTTGTTTTCGTAATGCGTTTCTCTAGATGTTTTGTATCGCATTCCAAAGATTTGCACTGTACATTCGTTCGAGCTACTAAATGTTTTCCTTTTTACATTTTTTCAACTAATAAATACTATTTTCTGATATATGTGTAAATACATATGTATTTAAAAAAAACATAAAAGTATATTTAACAAACGAAGTTCAATTCATATTAAATGAAGAGAAATGAAGTCTTTTTCTATTCCCATACGATTTTTGATTTCATTTTCATTTCTTGAATAAATAAAAATCTTTCGAATCATTGGAAGGAACATTGAAAGAAAATGTTTTGTATACATTTTAATAACGGTAATTAATGTATGACAGGATGAACATAGAAATATGTATAAATCAGATATATAACAATATGAAACTCTCTTTAATTCACAACACAATATAAAAGATAGTGAATAGCTAACATTTGCAATGTGACCAGACAGGATTATCTGCAAATCGATTAACAAGAAACAAGTTAATTTATAATAATTTTAATAATGATGTGTTTACTAGGAATGACAACTGCGATAATCGCATTATATTTTAAGCAAAACAAGCTTTAGAACACGGGATGTGTGAATACCAGACAGACATTGTCGAGAATCTGAACGAAACATATGAAAACTAAATAATGTTACAAAGTAGAGAACATGACCGACCAAACATAGGAACCAAGGTCCAAGCAGTATCAATATCAATATTGTAATGAACATTTTCAAAAGATCAAAAGAAGAAGACGTCGCACAGAAGGTGTCCGTAAATAGTTAGGAAACCTAAACTTCATCATTCATATGAGTATTTGTATTCAACAAAATTGGGCATCGTTCATCGAAATGGGAAGATTTGAGTTTAACTTTATTTGTGCCTATTACCTATTTTTAATTCAGTATTACGAAATAATTTTAAATATCGCATAGCATATATCCATATCCATATTCATATAATAAAAATAAACATATAATAATAATAATTAAATATGATATTAAAAATAATAAATAAGAAAAACAATCAATTATTAAAATTTTTTTGTATTTACATTAAAAATGGTAATTATAATGAGAATGAATTTAAATTTGTAATTAATTTTTTTTTTTTTTATTCAAATTGATTTGAATTGAATTTTTTTTTGTACTTTGCAATAGCAAAATAATGAAAAAACTTTTAACAATACCGATAATTGCCGTATCTGAGTCCGTAGGTTTTTTCGTTGCAATATCCGCAGCTGCAACGGTTTCCGTTGATGCTGCAATTTTTATATTTTCACTATTCCTTATGTTGTCAACAGACGCTACATTGACATCATCGCCAATATTTCCAATGCCGTTGTTAGCCACTGTATTCGCTGGTGCTGGTGCTGTTGCTGTTGCTGAGACTGCTTCATCAATATCAGTATTGTCGGAATTGTGATCGGTGAGGTTATCAATAGCTTTGCCATTTTCGATTGTTATCGTTGGTATTATTAGTTTTTTATCACTTGTTTTGTTTGACGTTTCCTGTTCATCACTTTTTCTCTGTTTATCTTTTTTAGCTGATTTTGTGGATGAACTTTTCGGATTTGCGCGACAACATGAAAACATTTTTATCTGCGTAACACTTTTTCGAAGATATTTTTGAATTTTTTCTAATATTATAATTTATTTACCCATATATTAAATTCAAATTTCATGCTCGGTTTTAAAGTAAGATTTCACAAAATTCAATATAATGCCTTCATTTGTTAATTTCTTTGAAATTTTTATTTTGCAACAAGCTACAGCATATACACATATAAAACAAAGATCAGTCCAGTCGACCAGTCGAAATACAGCTATACTGTAAGAATAAGTATAACTAATGGAGTCTCTACTTTCTACCACATATCTTTGATCACAGAATTAAGACTCTGCAACCTAGATAACATTTGTGATCAAATTCATCAGAAAGTTAACATCCCACATTGACCTAGTTACATATTTATTCGCGGCGTGCGGTACACATATCCATTTGTACTCTAAATTCATATATCAGATATATTTTTCTGTTACCTGTCAACGTAATTCATAACATTAGAACTTAACTGATAAGTGAGCAATTTGTGTTTTCCAAACGACGAACTGCTAATGAACTTACTAACTGCCCAACTGATCTACTGTTCTTCTATTATGAAGTATATACCTCTTACAATACATACTGAATACTTTACATTACCCACTGCATCTATTCACAACTAACAACAGATAACTCATAATCCGAAAGGCTGCGTGATAAGTATTACGCGTCTTTAAATTCAATTTCATTGTGTGATTTATAATCACTTTCAAAAATGAGCTAAAAAAAGTGGATAAGTCTAAAAAAAACGGAAGGGGTGAGCAGTTCTCGACCCAGGAACCTCCTACTGGCCCAGATCAAGGCTAAGCAGTCACAGAGAATTTGACTCATCTGGAAGTCTCATCTGCTTCTAAGCAGAGTCGACAAACTATCTCTTCGGACAGACAAAATAGGTCTAACTGATAACGCAGTCCATGGTGGCCCGTTAAATATCACACCAGCAACCTTAACTCTGTTCTACTGAAGAAGGGGAACGGTAAGTAAACAGTAAGTATAGTACAAATAAAATGTACTTATCGTATACGAGTATATATGTATATATTCAAAAAAGCAAAAACAAATATATATGAAAAGTGGAAGCAAATAATTTAACGGAGAAAGGAGGGAAAAAATTGAGAAAAGTGAAACACTTTTGTGGCTATATTTGCAACCACAATAGGAGTGGAACACCCAACCCAAAGTAAACGTTTATATATTACACATTTACGAGAACATATATTGGTTTGTACATTTTATTTAATATATATTAATGTACCTAGGTATATACCGTTTACACATTATTCTTATTAAAATAGAGAAGTGCAAAGTTCGTTATTTGCACATAAATTTGTGGAATTTGTTTGTTACAAGGATATTCTTTTAAAGGATTATGTTGTGAACATTTTAGGCAGCACTTTAAAATAATATCGGTTGTATAAATTATGTATGTGTCGAAAAATGATTTGTTTAAAATATACATAGACACATTTTTCAAATGTTTTCTATGCCAATATTTACTTTTGGTGAGTGGATGCAGTAAAAAGTATAGCAAACAATTTCCGTTTTGTTGAAACATTTTGTTTTGAGTAAAACTTAACTAACCATGAAACACCAGCCATTAAATGTTCATTTTGCAATAAGCATTAGGCAAATAACTTTAGAATTCGTTTCATTTTAAAAGTTTCCCTTTTGGTATATATTATTTAAAATGGTACACTGGACTGAAATGGCTGTGCTGTGCTAAAATTATTCTTCTCAATCTAACACTACATATATAATCCGCTCACATAAGCATTATTATTAAAACTTTGACGTGAAGACGCCCAATAGCTGGTACTACGGCCGGAAGAGTCCTATTGTACCAATTTCACTATTGACTACACAGAACCCTTTAAAGCTTTATGAACAAAGTCCACAACTAATCCTATAAATCTAGAGAAGAGCTCTTAATCTGTTCTGGTGCCAGAAATTCCATATGAAACAAGTTTCTTCTTGTGCGTAACTAAAGCTGGACAGTCACAAAGAATATGCATAGTAGTTTCTACATATTCGAGGCATAATCTGCACTCCGAATTAGCAGATAATCGTAGGCATTATCAAGATGACGTATCGTAATCCTGAAGATGACTCTTAAGGAGAGACGACACTATATGTCGTAAAAACTATTAAACGTTTAATTATTTAACAAGAAGGGACCTACATCCAGATTAGAAATATATAAAAAACCATTTAAAATTTTATAATTAAAATAAAACCTTTTAGACATAAAGTGACTGGCCCTTGTTCTCACGTGAGAACAGTCATTTTGCTTAAAAATAAGAATACATTGTGTGGGTTTTTTTTTGTTAAAACTTTTAATTTAATCAAAAATGAGTAATTAAATGGCAATAAGAACATTTTACCGATAGCTTTGGTATTGGCATTAATAGATGACATAATAAGGCAGTGCTGTTAGTTCATAGATATTAAACAAAATCAATAAGTCTAATCGGTAGTATGACGTCAACTTGTTAAAAACTAGAAGTCTTTAAAGCCAGGAACATTGCATAAATAAATATCAAATGAATAACGTTTATAACTAGCTATCTGAAGGGATATTTTGACAGTTTTTTTTAAAGTTTTAATATTAATATATTTCACTCACATTTAGGTCAGGTCTTTTTACGTCCTTCCTAGCAGTAAAAGCAAAATAAATAAAATACTATAAATATTATGGTATAAATGATTATACGAGAAAAAATAGAGTTTAGTGAAAACTTTATGGTATAGAAATGGACCCTCAAAAACTTATTCCCTTAAGTTCAAAATAGAGGCCAAATTCAACAACACATATTTAAAAGTATATAGATAGCTACATGAAAATTATAACCCATTAGATATTAAATGAAAGAATCTTTAATAAGCTAGTTATACTAAACACCCTTTAGTTAGTTGGATGAACCGTTTACAAATTAGTAAGGATTTTTTAATTTGAACATTATTTTCATACAAATGAACATTATTATTTTTGATCACCTGCATTTCTGTAATTATTTAAAATCTAAAATCTAATTTTTTTTCTTGTTTCGTAGGCTTCTGTATCATCTGCATTGATGCCATTTGAAGGGTTAATAAAGACGCAATGATACTATATAAGATACACTATTTTTTAGCTTATATAAAATAGTTTATAACTATTACATAGTCATACCCCTAACTTATATACCTTAAATATATAATGTAGTGCATACACTTCCACAGTTCTAATTTAATGTAAGCATTATCTCAATCCGAATCAACGCTTCTATTTTATTGTAAACATAAGTTCAGTAGAAGAAAGGCTGGAAATGACTCCTGCAAATTACAAGTCCAGCATTAGTGTATCTTTTATGGTAATGTTTAGATGCGAAGCTGGAAGCGATGCTCAGATCTTAAGGTTTAGACATGATTTATTATTTTCATGATATACATTCAATAAACACGAATCAAACAAATCGGTTCTGTTTTATTTTTATTTAAAAGAAAATACAATTTGTAACTTGGATGTGTTTATATAAAGACCACATCTTAAGAAATCTTAAGAAAGCGATCTATGAGGTGGCATATGTTTAATGTGATTGGTTGCTAAGAAGACAATCGTAATTAAAACTAGAAGTCACTTTCGTATAATTATTAAGGAAATTTATTTTTATTTTCAGTGAAATTATTTTGAGTTTGAAGACTTTTGCCAGCTTTCATAAAGACAAACGTACATATGTGCCAGATGTAGGTGTTTTTAAGTACCACCCATAACGCAATAATAATAATATATGTACATATATATATGTGTGCACATTCCACATACTTGCCGTTAACAAGTGAATGACAGCAATACAAGGCGCCATATATGCTGATGAAGTGATAAACTTTATAAAATTTGGTAAAATCAATTTAAAATTTTTTCAACAATTGTGCCGAATTATTATTATTAATCTGACACAACTGCTTAATACCTCCACTTCCATAATAAAAATATACTCGTACCAAATATACTCGTAGGAATATCACATAAAACTCAGAGCAGTCATATAGACCAGCAAATGTTGTTTGTAAGTGAATTAAGAATACAAACTAGGTCAGTTGAATCTGAGTCAGGTGAAGGCGAAAACCAGGTGAGTAGTTTTGTTATTATTCGTATATATTGCAACACACCCTAATATTATTGAGACAATGGAAGACATTTTTTTTAACGGATTCATCATGCTCTTTTACGTATCAATGTCAATAAACTCAGCTAAATCGGAATGAAACAGTTTAGTAATCATTTAAGTAATTTTAGCAATAATCACAAATTACAGAAGCCAATATAAATCCAATATAAAATACACTAACACAGTTGCTGCTATGTAACTTCGAACAATTTCACATATTAAACCAAAAAATCAGAAATCTCAGATAAGATGACTTAGACTTTTGCTCACTATTATCTACCAAGGCTCACGCAAAACTAACTCTGAACAACGTCTTAATATGAACACCGTCTTGAAATTGAATTTCTAAACACGATCCTTAAATACCGGAATGCTTTTTCTGTTTGTCCACACGGTAAGAGGTAGAGTAAGAGTAAGAGTATTTCACTGACATTGGCAGTGCTGTTGTAGTTTTAATAGCTGCATTTGTTGCCACTTTTGGAGTGAGTCTCTGACCATGTTTGGCCAGTGCAAATATTGTTTTTAATTAATTGATATTTTTGCGGTCACTTCATCTTACTTATTTGAATAAAGTGCAAATGCTGGTACACATTATTGTGGCGCGCACGAAACAACGAAACAACGAGACACTAAGAAGAGAAAACTTCCACAATTTATGCTTTATAAATAATATCAATCAAACGACACTTTTTGTTTTAGTTTTCCTCTCTCCAGCATAATAGAAAAACGCACGTTTCGTACCGGTTCATAAGTTGTGCCGGAACACACAAAGTCACAGAGTCACACAGCACAACGAATGAGTCTACCACACAAAGCACGGGACGTGTCCAACTGAACAGAAGCTGAACTGGGCTCGCAGCACTACCGAAACTCTTAAAAC